CCCCCCCCCCCCCCCCCCCCCCGAAAGCCAGTGGGCTTGGTGGGATCTGGAATGGCTACGAAGCCCCGATGGGCCGCGTTGCTCGCAGGCCCGTGGCCCGGCGCTCCCGCGGTGTGCGAGGCCTGGCGCGGCGGCTGGCGAGGGATCCCCAGGGCGGGGGTCAGTCCGGGCGCGCAGTGCCATGCGGTCATTAGCCACGACTCAGCTGGCGTGGGCGACACCGCCAGCCCGTCCCAGAGGGACCCAGGCAATAAATTACCCACTTACAGGGTGTAATTGGTGAGGGATTAAAAATCGATAGACGGGAGAGAGCGGGCGAGCAGCCTTCGCCTGGCCGGGCCGCGTGGCTCAGCAGAGGCCGGTCCCGTACCCTGACTGTCCAGCCCCCCCGGCTGTCTCCGCACTCCATGGGGGTGTCTGGAGTGGCAGGGCCTTGCCCCTGCAGCCCCAGCGGCTGCCTGGGACAGGCTGCGTCAGTGTAACCCGCCCCCTGCCGGGGGTGCCGCCCTGCCCCCCGAGCAGCACCGGGCCCCCTGCCAGGGAACAGCGCTCTGCGCTCTGGCCTGAGCTGGGAACTGGGGGCGCTTTCCCCGACATCCTCGCGGGGAAGAAAGCTGGGCTGGCAGGGCGGGCGCGTCTACACAGCAGGGCTTCACTCGAAATGTCACCTGCCTGTCTTATTTCGAAAGAGGGAGCGTTTCCACAGCCCTGACTTGGAAACAGAGCCCGCTTCCTCCGACGCCCCTTCCTCCTTGGACCAGCAGGGGTCCAGGAGTCACAGGAAGCAGTCCTCCAGCTGGATGGCATTTCGCCACTCTTCCGAAATAACTGCCTGCTGGAGACGCGGACTCCGTTACGTCGGAATGGTGTCACCGTGTAGACGTACCGTGAGTTGTAACAAATCCCACACTGCCATTTCCGAAGGACCAAATCCGCCGACTCTTTGCTTTGAGACGCCTGTTTGGTCTGACGTTGAAAACGGTGCGGCGTGCCGCGTGGGCATTCAGCACGTCCCAGGCTAAAGACGAGAAAAGCCAAACAAACCGTGCCTGGGGCCAGAGCGAAATGTTGGGTCGTCTCAAAACTCATCTCTGTCCAGTGTTTTCCTTAGTGGAGGTTCAGAAGGTTTGCGCCGGCTCTGGCTCTGGCTCTGGCTCTGGCTCCCTCCTCCCCCATCACAGGGAGGAGTGTTTTGCGAGGGTGCTCAGCAACCCCTGCACTTCAGCCCAGTCCTTGGGAGGATGCTGGGCCCAGGCCTAGCTCCTGAGCCGTGGGAATCTGGCTAACCGTCCTCATCGCTCTCTTGGTCCTCACCTGGCCCCGCTGGGGAGCAGTCCTGTGCGCTCGGACAGCGCTGCCCTGTGCCGTTTGGGAAGAGGCACAGAGAGGTGAACGGATTTGGTCATGGTCCCACAGAAAGTCTGTGGCAGGGCATTGACTCTAGGGCTCCCAAGTTCCAGGCTAGCGCCCTGACCCATAGCTAAGGTCTTGCCTACACAGGAGAGTTAGTCTGGATTATGGTAGAATATACGACTGCCCTTCTTCCAGAGCATGCGCGCCTGTTCCCAGATTAGCTCCATCCTCTTTGGAAGTGGATTGGAGCAGAGAGCCCAGCTGGAGTCCATCCAGAGTCTTTCATGTCACACCCTGCTCCAGAGTGGCTGTGTGCAGAGGGGCCAGGCAGCAATCCCCAGGATCCGAGGGGCGGGGGAGGAGGAAAAGGTGGCATGGAGCTGCCAGGAGAGTGAACACCGGGCTGAATGCTACAGCTCAATAGAAGGCGGATGGTTTATGTTTAACTAGACAATAGACAGGCCTGTTCCCTTAACTAATTTGCCTGGTGCTGAAACTGACAAAGCATTAATCGTCCCTGCCATTATTTATTTATTTGCTCGGGCTGGGCTGTGACAGGACACCTTATTTTCTTTGTCAAATGCCATTAGGCTCGGCACCGGCACCCAGGCTGTGGAAGACAGATGCGGGTAATAATCGTGAAATTCTCATTATTTACCATCACTTCCGTCGTGTTTAAGTTATTTATGCCCCGAGGGCCCGGCCAGAGACTGTGGGTTACCCTGATAGTCAATCATAAAAATGCAATTGTGACTTCATAGTCGCTCTGTCTCCCTCGGTTTCGCCCGCTCGCCCGCCGCTGCCCCCGCCCGCCGCTGCCCCCGCCCCTCCCCCCGCGCACTGTCTGTGGGGGCAGGGGGTGCGCGGGGGGGGCGCAGGGAGCAAGCGCCAGAGAAAGACGGGCCCAGGCAGGGTTCCCCCCAGGCTCCCACCCAGCAGCCCTGCCGGTGCCCCATGGCCCAAGGAGCAAAGCCCAGGCCTCGCGGGGCGACCACAATCCCCTCTGCTCTCCCGGGCAGTTGGATGCAGGGCTGGCTCGTTGGCCAGGTGCCCCAGCAAAGCTCCTGACGCCAGGCCAGGACGAGGGGCTCCCTGGCCGGCCGTGCACTGGGACTGCTGGCAGAGGCACTAACTCGGGGGCCCCAGCAAAGCTCCTGACGCCAGGCCAGGACGAGGGGCTCCCTGGCCGGCCGTGCACTGGGACTGCTGGCAGAGGCACTAACTCGGGGCGGCTCTCTCGCTGCACAGCCCGGGACCAGGTG